TCCTGTCCTATCCTATCCTATCCTGTCCTGTCGTATCCTGTCCTATCCTATCCTATCCTATCCTATCCTATCCTGTCCTATCCTATCCTATCCTATCCTATCCTGTCCTGTCGTATCCTGTCCTATCCTATCCTATCCTATCCTGTCCTATCCTATCCTATCCTGTCCTATCCTGTCCTGTCCTATCCTGCCCTATCCTATCCTGTCCTATCATATCCTATCCTATCCTATCCTGTCCTGTCCTGTCCTGTCCTGTCCTATCCTATCCTGTCCTATCCTATCCTACCCTATCCTGTCCTATCATGTCCTATCCTGCCCTATTCTATCCTGTCCTATCAGTTTCCTATCCTGTCCTGTCCTATTCTATCCTGTCCTATTTTATCCTGTCCTATCCTGTCCTGTCCTGTCCTATCCTGTCCTATCCTATCCTGCCCTATCCCATCCCAGCTTATCCGATACTATCCTGTCCCATCCTATCCTATCTTATTCTATCCCTATTCTGTCTCCTATTCCCTTTTCTTCCCATCCTATTCTATCCTATATTTTTCCATTCCTTCCTATTCCTCCCCTTCCCTTTCCTTCCTATCCCTTCCTTAAACTGAAATAATAACTGAAAACATAAGAGCTTTCCTTTAGATTTGCACTTTAGAACCAAACTGGGGGATTCAGGGTTTCTTGGCAGTAGACAGATAAAGCTGAACCAGCCTGTTGTCTAATTTAATAAAACATTTTTTGCATCTTGTACTTTAGCAGGAAGACTCTGGTTTTGCCACGGAGTGGATTCATTCACAAACACACCCATCTCACGCAGCATGGCCTTTGGAATAGGATGGGCGTGACGAGACACGTACAGATTCCAAAGATTTTTGTCCATAGGCGACGGTTTATAGTCCATGCATGAGGCACCGCTCAGACTCGGAGCGCACGTCACGTCCCACTTGTAAAACAGCTGACCATGGTTCAGACTGCAAAGATCTTCCTTAACACCTGCAGTTAAAACCTGGTTACAGGTTCCCAGCCTATCATCATCCCAGCCACTGTCCTGATCCCAAACTTCAAATTTCACAGAGTTGACTGAAGACAGATCCTGGGGACCCAGGTCCAGGACCAAGTTCCAGTGTGGGTTGTTGTTGTTGGTAATGACTGGAGAACGACGTTCAATCTTGTTGAAGAAGACCTTCACATAGCCATCTGTGGAAGTGAATGTGTCTCCCCACAGACCCGAGGCTCTCTGTACTGTAATGATGACCCGGGCCATGCCTTTACGGGCCGGGCAGCAGTCCAGGTTCACAGCAGGGTCATTGTGGCACTGGCAGACACAGGAATCCTTTGAATCGCTCCTGATCCCTGTCGGACAGCGCTTGCTGCAGTTTCTCAGCAGCCCTTTTTCCAGGATGTAATGAGTTATGGCTGAGCGCAGGTTCTGCCATGTTGTCGTTTCAGCCGGCAGTAATTCATGCAGAGAGTCGAGGGAGTACGAGAGGATGTCAGGATTGTGGGGTATCGTGCTCAGCCATTCCTTACAGGCAGACGGGTTTTTGTCCGAAGAGAAGAGAAGGTCTGGCTCTGTGGTGTGGCCTCCCTTTATTTCTGTAAACCTGTTGAAGGACGAATCGTTTAATCAGCTGAGTCAGAGTTCAGACTAGGCCTGTCCTAATGAAACTTTATCTAAAAGTTCTGCACACAAAAAAAAAAGAAAATTAAAACATCTTGAGTCTGATACATGTTTATTGCCCAAGAAAATCTCATGAACAAAGGATGATGGATCTGGAGCTACTACTGTACTACTTTATTTATGCAGCACTTTTACAACAACCACAGCTGCAACAAAAAGCTGTACGCGCAAAATCAAGAACATCCAAAGCATAAATCTTAAATATGAAGATCAGATAAAATCAGTTGTAAAATCTAGTTTCTTTAATTTGAGGCAGTTGAGCAAGATATGGCCCGCTCTTTCCCAGCACCTGTTTGAAACAGTGATCCACACATTTGTTACGACTCGGCTGGACCACTGCAACGCTCCGTACGTCTTCCGTTTACAGATGGTGCTAAATGCACCGGCACATCTTTTAAGTGGCACAAAGAAGTGTAATCACATTTTGCCTGTTTTTTTTTTTTAGAATTCATTAAAAAATATATTTTATTTGTTTTTTTAATCTTTAAGTGGTCTTGCCTGTCCTTACCTTTCTGAGCTAGTACACTCTTACTACCTGCCCAGTCTGTCTTGTCTGCTGATCAGTTGCTCTTGACTGAACCAAAAGCTAGATCTAAGTTCAGAGGGGACCAGGATTTTGGAGTGATTGGGCCAAAGCTGTGGAAAAAATTGCCTGTGTACATTAGACCAGCAACCTCCGTAGTTGTTTGGAAATCCTTGCTTAAAACTCAATTTTGTTCTTTGGCTTTTCGCTACCTGTTAAGTGAAGATTTTTACGTTTTTTTTGTTTTTTTTTATCTTTATTTTTAGCGTTATTCAATTAATTGTGCTAATGTTTTATTGTATTGTACAGCACTTTATTCCACTGAAGAGTTTTAAAGAATTTTAGAAATGAAGTTGAATTGAATTTGGAAATCCAATTTAAAATCATTGTCCATTTTAAAACCCAAATTAGAAACTGCTGGCTTTACATGCAGCGCCAGGGGCCCCAGATCAATAGTGTGAGGTACACAGGAGCCTCTGGGACCAAACACCATTTCTATTTTCCTGTCAAGAAAATTCAAAAAGTTTAGGGAATCCAGGCTTTGATGTCTTCAAGGAACGTCTAAATTGGCTTAACTAAAAAACAAACAAACGAAACAAAAAAAATAGGAGACCTAACATTGAGCCATGTGGAACCTCAAAAGACAGAGGAGCAGAGGAGGATTCAGAATCAACAACACTGACACACATGGTTCTGTCTGACTATATGGCAGATAAGACCTAAACCAATTTGAGGCAGTACTATAAATACCCACTTGGTGCTGTAAACGAGATACTGAAACATAAATTCAGTTCATTTCAGTTTATTTACATAGAGCCAAATCACAACAGAAGTCGTCTCAGAAGGTAATTATTGGACGTACATCTACGACTCTAATGGCTGATGATGGCCAAAACAATCAGCATTAGCCAACAAAAAATGGCCACAACTTGTTAAATTTTGCAGATATTGAGCTAACATTAAGGTGTGGTAACGCTCTGAGTGCTGTCAAATCTTGCAGGATTTCACAATATCTGAGATAAGACATGAAATTGTTCATAATTGTTCACAATGTCCTGTGGGCTCAATAAAGTTCTGTCTTATCTTATCTTATCTTATCTTATAACCTGAGACAGTAGAGTGGATAGCATCATCACCCATAACCCGTGCAAGTCTTTTTAAATAGTTTTTTTTTCCTGCCACAAGTGGCAAAACAAAACCACTGAATCTGGTACAATAATAACCCAACACCACCTACCTCCACTTGTCACATAGCAAGGTGTAGACATTCTATACAGTGTAGATACAAACAATTTTATTCTTGTTTTTATTTGATTAATTTAGTGTTTCAGTGTTTTGACTATGGCTGAGAGAGCTCCGCACAAGAATATTAATGTGCCTGGATTGTTGGTCTGTGCACAAGTGGCAAATAAAGACATTTGTTTTACCTTTGTATACATGGTTTGAGCAAAAACTTAAAATTTTATCCCTTGTTAGCATGAGATGACTTTTAAGTTAAAAATAGTCCAGATGCATTCCTTCAAGGAATTTATTAACATTTATTTAACAGGTAAATCCCAGTGAGACCAAATATTTATTTTGTGAGCAAGGCTTGGGCCTGAAGGTGGTCTAACATGCAGGTTTTTTGGACTGCAAGAGAAAAATCTGGAGTTCCTGGAGAAAACCCACACAAACACAAGGAGAACATGCACCAAAACCCACACAGGAAGAACCCTGGTAAAAAAAACGGGGATTGAACCCAGGACCTTCTTGCTGTGATTCAACAGCGTTGTTAAGTCGTTGTGCTGCTAAGTTTTTAGGTTAGTTCTGGCTTCCTCGAGGTCCAAAGCGCAGGTAAAGATATGTTACCTGTCATTGAAGAGGCTGGAGAACGCTGACTTGCTGTCCGACTTCTCAACGTCTTTCTTGCAGTGTTTGGACTGAGCTGTTATCGTGGCTCTGAAGCTCGCGGACGCCTCAACTTCCAGGCACATCTGCACCTCGTCCGTGCTGAGTCCCTGCAGGTTGGCCTGGCACTGACGGATGCTGGTGACGGACTGCACGCCTCCCCCCAGCTTCACCTACAGAGGGATGTATTTAAACACATTTAGGATCGGTGTTACTCCCCACGGATGGAAGCGCTCCTTGTTCCGTCATCTTGTTGCGTGTCACCTTGGTGATGTAATGGGTGCCGAAGTTGTCTATCAGTTTGTAAAACTGCTGCTTGGTTTCTGGGCTGTAAACTTTAGGGAGAAGCTTCACCGCTCTGTTGAATTCTCTGTTTAACCTGGGAGAGCTGGACACTCGGTAGCTGATTTAAAAAGACAAAAGTCAGAGATAATGCACCATAACAAACGTTCAGTATCGTCATTATTAGAGGTGTGATGACTGACGAGCATATAGCTCATCATTTATTACAAGAGGCAAGATCTAGAATATTTTTAATTTTTAATAATGGCGTTTGCCAAAAACTCCAACCTTGCTGATTTCTCAGGATTTTCTTCAAATTGCAGGAAACTCGAACAAATGAACAAAAACAGCCGAAAACCCATTTTACAGACAGCCTTATTCTAATAACTCTACATGGAATTAACTTTTCTTTGGTTATCTTATTTATCAGTTTAAACAGTTTACTATAATCTTTTAAATAAAAAAGTGTTTTATTAATTATTTACATCTTCCTTTTCATCATATTTGTTTAATAGTCTCCAATGAAACACTTAACATTAATAAGGCTAAAAAAAAAAATTAGCTAATTGAAAATTGAAACATAATTAAAAGAGAAAGTAAGAAAATCTGGATAATAAATAACTCTTGTGTGTTAAATATTATTAAGTTTATCCCAAATGTTTCTCACACTGATGAATAAATTGGTGATAAAACGTTTGAATGGAGAGTGGGAAATTAATGAAAAGTTCAAACTTTATTTTCTCCACTTCAAAGTTGACAAATTACTGAAATAAGTGTGAGGCAGATGCTCTTCCTCTCAGCACGTAGCTGCAGAGGCTGTCCCTGACAAACGCCACAATCTGAAGTTGTGGAAACACCTTCAGTTTTAAAATCATGAGACGAGGTTTGTGTTTGTTCGGTTTGCGAGGCCTTGTCTTCTTACCTGTAGTACTCGCAGGACATGCTGAGGCTTGCAAAGCTGAACTTGTCGTTCTTTGTCTTCTCCATGGAGTACTCGGCCAGTTTGGAGTTGGTCCCTGCCAGCATCAGTGAGGCGCCGGTTTTTAACATTTGAAACTCCAAACTTGATTTCCAGTTGTTCTCCACAGACGAGGAGCTGGAGCTGACCAGAGACTCGCTGGATTTGTGGAGTTTCGAGGACACTGAAGCGCTGCAGGACTGCTTGGCCCTCCAGTCCACCACAGACAGAGGCAGCTTCTGCCAGGTGTTCTCCATGAAGGGGTTGCTGCACAGGGTGCAGGTTTTATCTTTGCGTTTCCACAGATTCATGTTGAGCACAAACGCTCCTTTGCGCTCCATTTTGGTGATGTCGAAGCCTTCACCGGCTAAATTGGAACCTGGAGCAAACGTTGCGTCCAGGCACTGTTTGGGTGTCCCGTCTTTGCATGACTGATACGTGCCCCGCGGGAAGAACAGAAGAAGGCCGGCACAGACATGTACCAGGTGCATGTTGCTGTTGAGATGGACGTGGACTGAAAACGCAACATTTTAAATCAGCACAAGAAACCAAGGCTTGTGTCAAACGTAACAGCACAACGTAACAAGCACGGACAGCTACAGAAACATAGAGTCCAGAACGTGCAGATCCAGAACCAGCGCTCTCTGATGATCAAAATTAGGGAGAGATGAAAGAAGCCTCCTCCATAGAAAAGCAAAGTAAATACTAAATAAATAAATAAATATTTAGCTCCACACAATATATTTAGTTTACAAACTAAATGTTTATGTCCAAGATAAATGTTTAATTTTAAAACTTAATATTTAGGTGTAAATTTAATATTTAATTTCAAAGCTGAATATTTATTTTCAAAACTAACATTTAATTTTCTAACTAAATCTTTAATTTCAAAGCTAAATATTTAATTTTCAAACTAAACATTTAATTTCAAAGCCAAATATTTAATTCCTAAACTAACTATTTAATTTACTAACTAAATATTTATCTCAGACCTAAATATTTATTTTCCAGGCTAAACATTTAATTTCCAAAATGAATATTTAATTTGATATCTAAATATTTTGCTCAGACCTAAATATTTATTTTCCAAACTAAACATGTAATTTCCAAAATAAACATTTAATCTACTAGCTAAATATTTAGTTTGGACATAAATATTTAACTTGCTAGCTAAATATTTAACTTGCAAGTTAAATATTTAGTTTGTAAATTAAACATTTATTATGGACATAAATATTTAGTTTGTGAACTATATATTTAGCTTGCAAATTAAATATTTAGTTTGGAACTATGACATTTATAAATGTATGAATAACACGGTGATAATATGACTTTGAAAAAAAACTATTCTTTTTTTCTTATGAAAGGCTAAATAAACCGAAATGTTGCTGTTAATTTTTGACTGTGTAACTTCACAAACGGCACCCCATAGACCACTTCAGTCCCTGATTTTAAACGTCTCCTCAAAACACCCGTTTTCACGTTTAACACAGTGCGGTTTGATTTAATATTTCATCGTTTTTGTGTTTTTATGTTTTGATGCCTTTTGATCTTATTGGGAAGCACTTTGGTAACAGCTGCTGTTTTAAATGTGCTTTTTAAATAAATTTGATAATTTGACAAAAAAAAATATTTTGTAGACATTAAAATATGCACAATTGCATATTTAACATTCTTTTGTTGTCAGTTTGTTACAAAAATCAACCTGGTTGAGTGCTGATTATTAAACATCAGCATCAGACACCATTATTGGTTGACTATTGATTTGAAATAGATAAATATGCACGACGTACAAGATGTGCCTTAATGAATCTCACACTAAGGCAGCCAGCGGTTCCATGCTCCGCTCAAGGTGCCCTTTAATTTACTTGAGCCCCTGCTCATCAAAATGCCTGTGCACGCCACTGCTTCTTATTCTTACGACATGTGCTGGTGTTAGCAATAATTTTTTTTAGTTATTTGATTTCTGGAGAAAATCTTGGGACGTACCGCTTCTCGTCCTGCTACACGGGAGTGCGTTTTGTAACAAAAATTCTGAATTATATTCTCTCTCTTTCGCAATATCATGATATATTTAGTTTTTAAAGTGGTGGTTTTAAAATGTTTCAGAAGGGGCAGTGAGACTCACCTTCGTCTGGGATGTTTTTCTGCTGCACGCATGAGTCAGGTTGAGAGCATCGGTGATAGATTTAGAGTTTTTAAACACAAAGCAGCAGCATTTAACCGGATGACGAAGCTTTCTGATTGGCTGATCGGAGGGGCCGCAGGCCGCATATTTTTCACACCTGAGGTCTGTTCGTGACCAAAGGTGAGAAAATGGAAACTTTTGTGAAGTGTTAAACTAGAATGGAAAATGTGGGGAAGGTTTGTGTCACACGATCATTGTCAACTGACTGATTATAGTTATAAAAGCTTCACAGATGAATTTTCTTTTTGCACACTGCTAAAATAAATTATTATTTTTTACATTGTTATGCCTAAAGAACAATACCACAGTCATTAATAATACTTCTTATGACTCTGTTAATTAACCCTCCAGCTGCCCTTGGGTCAAAATGTCCCACAAAGTCATATTAACTGAGGCCTCTTGTTCATTTGGACCCAAAAGCAGCTGGACGGTTACAAAAATAATAAATACAGCCAGTTTTTTTCAAATGTATTTATTTATTGCTTTTGCTGAAGCAGATTTAAAAGCCTTTTAAAAGTTTTTAAAGAAATGAAACATTCTCAATGGACTTAAAGGTTTCAGTCAATTTTATTCAAAGGTTAAAATATTAACGGGGCAGCAAACCATTAAGCGAGTCCAGTGAACCCATTAGGGTTCTGTGGGATTGTGTTGAGCCACTCTTTGTAGGCTGATGGGTTTTTGTCAGCAGGAAACAGAAGGTCTGGCTCCGAGGTGAGGCCTCCATTTATGTCCATGAACCTTTGAAAGAAATCAACTCTTAATGGATGGACCAAAATGGAACTGGAATCTTAAAGCTGTGGAAAGATACGACCTCAGTTTTAAAAAAGATGGACCTTTGGGCAAAATGTAAATAAAAACAGAGTCCAAACACCTGCAGTTCTGATGGACTGATATTTAATTCACAATGGAGCGCAATAACCAATTCACATATGTAAACTTTGAAATCGTACACATTTTTGGAATTTGTTTTACGGCATCTACACATTTCAAAGACACTAATGCACCCCCATACCAGCAGAGAGGCGGGGCTTTTAAATTGTGTGCTGATAACAGATTGGATGGTTCCTCTCCTTTTTGAACAGAGGTGATCGTGTTTCCAAAAATAATTAAAAGTTTGCATCTGACCTTGATATCACGAGCGGTCCAGAAGACACAGTTTGACTTATCTTGCAAATCGGGAAAAACCCTGAAAAATCAGTTTGAACCCTGTTTTGAACATTTCCTGATGAGGATTTCTTGATGCCATTTGAAAGAGTAAACCTCAAACCAAACTGGGTATCAAGATTTCCCACTATTCACTAGCATGCATAGTGGGAAATCTGGCAATTAGAGGAAATTTAAGGCTTTTCTGTTCAAAATCACCGTTTATGTGTAAATGCCTCAAAACATTCATCAGGACTAGATTTCAGACAAAGAACCTGCAGGTATTTTTTCATCATATTTTCAAATAAAAAGATGCAATGGTTGCTAATTTTTCTACCAATGAACCATTGCAGGCTGTATTCTACTACACGACCGTATTTTCTGGTGTATAAGTTGCAAATTTTTGCAGAGATTTGTCAGTCCTGCGACTTATATAAGTTTTTTTTTCCCATATTCATAATGCAATTTTTGTCTGACACTTTAAATTTCGAAGAACTGCAACAGCGAGTCCTCCCGTGCACGCTCGCTTCACTCAGCTTATGCAGGCGGAGGAACGTTGGAGAGCTAGCGGCTCCGGCCGTGATGGATGGATGGATGGATGGATGGATGGATGGATGGATGGATGGATGGATGGATGGATGGCTGG